GACTTCATGAAACATTTAAACCGTAGGCTGTTACATCATAAAATATTTCTCTGTTACTTAAGTTAATAAATCATTATTAGAAAATATATTACAAATGCTACACAGGATGATGTATACTACGAAGGAATTTATTAACACGAGACAAGACCGTTCAAAACCTGGAAAGACTTATCAATAAAAAATAAATAATGAACGAATCATACTGCATTAGAATTGAACCCTACAACTACAACCCATGGAGGATTTTGTGTTCAGTTGGGTTCACATTATGAGGAAGTACTATTTCCAGAATTACCTGCAAAAGCACAGGAGTGTAGTACCTCACTCACCGATCTATCTCACTGTTTATTATTTTTGTTAATATCTTAAGTAGGAATGCCTTTGATTATTTTTTTTTCTTTTTCCATTGTTTCGGGATTTTACTATTCTTTTTTCGTCTTTTTTCACCGTGTTTACAATATTTTGATATATTACCTTATGTTTTTGAGAATTAGTATTCCAATGGTAATGCGACCATAGTTGGGTGAGAGCATTCTTTGGAGTGGAGACGATAAATTCATACCAATCTGTCCACTTCATCTGGATCTTATCTCGTAGTCGTCATAATGCCTGAGCTATGTCTTTACCCCGGGCTATTATTTATGTCTCGTTATATTTTTATTTTTTCTTTATATCTCCTGTTTATATACGATGTTTAATTTTAATATCCACATGCCGGGCTAACATCTGTTGGGCTTGTTGACGAATGTATTGACGGAAAGTAAGAAGAAATATGATAAAAATATTGAACATATAATAATTTTTTGTTCTACTTCTGTTATTAGTTCATACATATAAGAAAACTGTATTTCAAATATTTTTCTTTAGCCTCAGAAGAGTTATATATATTTTATAACGCGATTAAAAATTTCGAAATATGATCCAGTAAAAAACGACCCCAATGTTGAAATATTACAAACGCAGCGTTCTAATATACGGCTTTGGAACGATGACAGACATAAAGCTGCGACCTCATTACGTTCTCAATGGATATCGCCCACACGGTGGCATTATAATTGATATATTACCTTACACATTCCCTCCAGTATCCTTTATATTGTACTCTTCGTCCCCACTCTTTTGGCTTCCTTGGGTCTTTTGGGAATATAATTCATTTAAAAAAAAAAAAAAAAAAAAAAAAATGTCTTTGTAAGAACGGCCGTTTTCTTTCTTAGGTCATTCTCTCCGCGGAAAACGTGCGAATTAAAAAGACCAAGAAGGCCCTTTTACCGAAGAAGATAAGTTCCATGCGAAAAAAGAAAAAAAAAAAAATGAAGCCTATATAGTAATGCATCAAAACTCGTCTTCAAGATTTTTTCTTCGAAAAAGAAAATTCTATACATCGTGTATTAAAAGTGTTTGGTTATAATAGTAATGACGAACGATAATATATTACAAATTTATGCATCATTATGATAGAATTGAAAGAAATGAGAAACGATTAAATAAATAATTTTTTCGTTCTTATATATATATATATATATATATATATATATATATATATATATATATATATATATATATATATATATATTGTTTTTTTTTTTATTTAGAAATATAATAATCCGTCATCTGGACAATAATTATAGTGAGATATGAACACATTCACATCATATATACAGAAAACATAAAATTAACAATAATGAAATAATAATCAAACAACTATGTCCAATTAAAAATAAAATAACCTAAAGAAAAGTAAACTGAAAACATAAAAACTCAGTCATACCTATGTACAATATATATAATCAGGTAGGGAACCCCAAGCTAGGCTTGTCTCTCCACTATTGACTGAAAAGCAGGACTACAAGAGATCCCTGCGATGCTCTCTCAACCGTGTCACTAGTGCTAAAGCCAGTGGAGATTGAGCGAGAGCGCGCTTTAGAGTTGTATATAATATAATTTTAAAACAATCAGATTGCCCATAAAATACAGGAAAAAATGACAAACCTGATTTAAATATTCTTTTTTTTTCTAATATTATTGTGTTTATATTATGTGTATTTTTTTTAGTCCTGAAGTCTGGCCTATTTGATTTGGCCAAGTGCTATTAACTGCAACTAAACATTTTTAAAAACAATGTAACGAGTTAATGGAACTACTACACTACAGAAATAGTTTTTTAAATAAACATAATACACCAATATATATATATATATATATATATATATATATATATATATATATATATATATATATATATATATATATATGTATATTAAATAATATTAATCATAATTATGACATATTGTAATATATCTCAATGAAGATATTTTCTAAAAAAAAAAAAAAAATCTGAATAATTTAAGAAACATATAAAAAAATTACTAACAGTAAAAGAAATGAACTTATGAAATAAATAATAACAATATTGGAGAGGAATATTGTTATTAGTTATTTCGTAAGTTCCTCTCTTTTACTGTTAATAGTTTTTTTCATATTTTCCTGATATTAATATATGTATATATTTTTTTTTTATTCGTAAGTTAATAGTTTCTCATATTGTTATCTGGTCTCTTTTTAGCCCTAACGGAGGCCTAAACTTTGGGCCGAAACGTCGGCAAATATAAAAATACATGTCATTTATTTATTTTTGACCGAACACCCCAACCAACTGCCGTCAATTTTTGTATATGTGTAGAACTTACCCTCATATGTATCATTATAATATTTTTATTGAAAGAAAAATAATACGTTCTGCTACAATTACATAATAAATCAAAGATGTTCTTTTTAAATATTAAAAGGTTTCCCAATAATAATCTATAATCCCCGTTTAAAAATCTTTCCAAATCCTAGAGATCCATTCTGAGATGGCCAGACCAGCCCGCTCACGCTGTCGACACATAAATGAAATTCATATTTAAATGAAAATAAGCCCTGATAGGATCGGACACCTAGACCAAGAGAGACTTATGAGCTACAGGTACCAGAGCTCATATTGGGAGCATAATCTGCTACACTTTATTGGACAGGGACAAGAAAAAAAGACCCCACTCCTCCTCCGGGGTGACAGATTTGTTTACAGATAAATCTAGTCACTTGCCGCCTGTTTACTTGTTAGGGTTAGTTAGGGCCCTCCTTCGTCGCAAATCTTTTCGAATATTTATCTACTGTTAGCTTTTTGAAAAGGCCCTTATTGTTGCCTCTTATGAGATATAACTAGTAGGAGGTTCTAGGTCCTCGATATACTTTCTCTTATAAAAAAACTCCACCCGGCCGTTGATCCCCTTAAACATTTTAAAATTTATTTAACGTTTTAATAGAACTTTGTATGGATTATGACCAAAAAAGGATAAAGTAAAAATATAAGAAAATAATTTTTACTAAATATAATTTTCAATTGGAATTTTTATTTGTTGGGCGCCTGGCTTTACTAGCCTTTCATCTCTAAAGAGGTAATTATAGAGAATAGAAGTTACTTACCCATGATTTGGCCATGATAAATCATTTATCCCACCATGCTAGCTCATGTGAGAAGGGTTAGGTTGGATATTTTTTTTATAAAGCAGCAAAAAAGGTTAACAGATCTATTTACAAAAAGAAATATTTACAGAATTAATACTATGCACAATAAAAAGAAATACAATACAAGGAAAAAGAGGGAATTCAAACATAATTACTATACACAATTAAAGATAAAAAGGAAGATATTTAAGATAATAAAGATAATACAAATAACAAAAAAAAAAGATACTTATTCCATATACAATATTATGGCATGCCACATCCAAACATCTAGAAAACATAGTCAAGATACAATAAGATATAAGAGCACATGCACATGCTAAAATATCAATTAGTCATCTCCTCAGGAAACAAAAGAGAGTAGAGTTTGTTTTGTTTCCAGTGCTTTCTTAATCTTGGTTACAGGATAAACAATTTTATTTTATTAATAGCATTCAGAATTGTATGCTACTTACTACTCGATAGCAGATCATGGTAATGTTAAAGTTTAATTATCAGATCTTTTTTTGGGCTATTATCTATTATGAAAAATGTATTTCCAAAAAAGTATATATTAATAAATATTAAAAATCATTTATTTTTAATAATATGTAATTCTAATAAAAATACTTTTTTTGAGGGAGAGGGGGGGGAGTATTTCATAAAAGTAAAAAAGAAAAAGTTTAGTAAATCATTTTTAAATATTACACTTTCTTTTTTTTTTTTGGAAAACTTCACCCACTTATTCAAGGCTTTTACAATTTATATGGTCTTTGCAATACATTTATCCTCCTTGCTAAGTTAATGAGTTAATTTAATCAATGATGGATAATTTCATCTTTAATAAATTATCCGTTCAAGTATACTTGCACATTGTTTTAGCTCAAATAATATATATGATTCAACTTGAATGTTCTTAAATAAAATCATCGGAAACAGTTTGAGTTGAATCTGTAAAATATCTTTTTTTCAACATTCTCAAAATGACAGCTGTCTTGTCCTTGATATGAAGCCAGCATATATATATTATATTATACAATACATTACGTTGTGAAAGTTTTTAGTATTCTGAAATATATCAGTATTGCTAGAGTTTTTATTTACTTTCCCTTGAGGACAACTCTTTTTTTTATCGCTTTATATTTTACGCTAAATATTTTGCCAGAAAGAACATTTTATTCCAATCTATTGTACGTCTCTAAGTAAATTACATCAAGCGTATTGAGATCTACCTGAGGTCTGTAAGGACTGCCGAATAAAAATATATAAAATAAGAATAATAATGTAAAATCGAATAAGGATAATAATATAAAAATATAATTAAGGATATTTTAACTTTAGTAGTCAACATCGTTAAATTTACAAGTATTTTCACTACGTATCATGAAAAAGACAAAGACGGATTCTAGTCTAAAAACAAGGAAAAAAATTTTCTAAAAAGAACGAAGATAAAAGAGTAGAAGAAGGGGAGAAAAAGCATCATTGATCCCTTAAACGCTCCCTTTTCGGAGAAGATGAGCCCGAACAGAGAGAGTGTGGGACCTCAAGATCCCGCAATACCGAGGACTGTAATAAACGTCCTGCTTAAGGGAGTCGTCGAGCAACCTCCTGTTCTTCTGGAAGCCCCAAGCCCTCCCCCGGGACGTTACCCCAACCACACGGCGGCCCATAGAGGAAGGGAACCGCCGTATCCAAAGTGCAAGGACCTCGAAGCTAAGAAAAGACGCTCCCATGACAATGGGGTCGAGACAATAGGTCCAGATTACCATCGAACTAAACAATATTAGGAAATTGAAATACATCCTATAGCTCCAATCTCATCCGACATTCTCAGTCTCCTTTATGCATTATTCAAACATAATCCGTTTAATTATAAATTTGCATAATTATCCCCCCTACGTTATTATGGGCAATTTAATCATACTTTTGGGAGTTTCATTGATAGGAGGGCACTAATTACTAAGTCACAACTACTATGGTGAAACAGAAAATTACTAGACCGTTGGCTTAACCTGTGTATCAGTTATATTCATGAAGAAAGTACAAGCGTTATAATCAAAATCCACAATGATATTTTATAACTATCATTATACCTAAAACAAAAAAGTGCTTATTTAACCTGAAAAAAAAAGAAGAAAACATTAGACCAGTGAGGCTTTGACTTTCTAGAGGTGTTTTTTGTTGTATTGTATACACCAAATAAGCAGGTTGCAGGCAAGAGGTTTTTCCAAATTCTTTAGCATTACTTAAAGAAAAAATACGATTGCCAAACTAGAATATATATAACGCGATTCGCGTATGTTCCGAATAGTTCATAGTATACCATTCATGACCGAATAGTTGAAGGAATTAGATGCAACATAATAACGTTTGTTTGTTTGTTTCGATGTCTAGGCGCAAAACATCCAGGTCATAAGCGCCCGATCAACTAAATAACATCATTTAATACTATTTGGATGATTGGTAAAAAAAAAAAAAAAAAATAATAATAAGAAAATAAAAAATAAAATAAAATAAACAAAGAACGTTATCTTAAGTATTAAAGGAAGGTTAAAGAGTGATGTAAAGAAACATGGGAGAGAGAAACTAGGAAAAATATTTTTTATCATACTTTTTACATAATTATATATAATATGAATTTATAATAATTATTATACCTAAGATTTCTCTTAAATTTCTTTTTTTTTTTTTTAAACCTTTTGAAATGTATATTTTTAGATTCACCTTTTAAATATTGCAATACAATATATTTTACTTATTTTTGTTATGATATAAAACCTTTTAAGATCATAATGTTCAAAGTTTAGTCATTATTGTATTTTATGAATATATAAAAATTAACGTTTAAATAACCTGAAAGCAGAGTCTTGTACTTTTTACTTAGAGCTCATTTCCTTAGTAAGAAACTGTGTGCAAGCTGTGGAGGCTTAAAACGAAATCACTCAATGGACTTTTATTTACTTAGATTTTCTTCATAAAAAAGTGGATTACATATATTTATATTTTTTCTGTTAACTTCTTAGGTTCTTATCAACCATAATGGAACTTCAGAAAAAGCGGTGGATCGTACTTAACTGTGACGACCAGTGCTTTTTACAATTTTGTTTTCTCTTCTTTACACTTGAGTAAATAAGTAAAAATATTTAACCAGAGAATTAACTATAATATTTAAAAAAAGTTTATGCGCCATAGGTGTCTGTGACGTGAATGCGCCCTATAGTTCAAAGACGGACACATATAACGAAAGAGTTGAGGCAATTAGACAAAATATAATAAAGTTATATATAAAGTATTAGAGGAGAGTTGAAGAGGGGTCGAAAGGGACATGGGAGAGAGAATCGATGAAAAAAGAAAGCCAGAAACCGGTAGAAAAATGCAGGCGCTCTAGATGCACCCGACAAAATACATTATGGATGCCCTCTCATATCTACGTCATCCCGGTCCAAGGGGGCTTAATCAAATTCATTCTATCAACAAGTCGATGCCTGCCCTTCGGAAAAACATGGCCGAAACTAGCCCGTGCTCTGTCATTATATTTGGGTTTAGTGGCCAGGAATGGAAGAGTTGTCCAGTTTTGAGAGGGAGTTTTTTCTCCTGGTGAAATCAAAGACATGTCGAAATAGTTTAAGTAGTTTTTAAAATTTCAATTGGATTCTCATTAGCCGAGGAGTAATTGCACATCAAACCAACCGGGGGTCTATCCCGAAAGCTCTTGGAACTTGATAATTTTTTTGTTAGTTGTTGCATAAATAAATGTAAGTAAAAGTACGAAATTTTAGATTTTTTTTTTTTTTGAACGTATAGGTTTTGAGATATAAATTTTTAAAATAACAAAAATAAACGAAAAACGGTGTTTTTGGGTTATTTCTCAAAAACTATTTAATATCTTGTGAACATATTATTTTTCCAATTTGAAATTTGGTACACCTTAAGCCACCATATGTTAGAATAATATGTATTTTTAAAATAAAATTCAAAAGGTGTGTTTATTTTTAATTCAAATTTAAGATTTTAGTTTTTGTATTTATTTATTGAGTATCACAACAATCTGTCACTTAGACATCAGTTATAGTGAGGTAGGATAACATTCACTCTGTACAAAAAATATAAAATAAATAGAAGCAAAATAACAATAATAATCAAAAGGCATGTACAATAAATAAAATAACCTAAAAATACGAAAATAAAAACTAAGCAAAAAACACCTGCATACCTGTATACACTACTTACAAAGATTTTACTTAAATAAATATTATATTTTTAGAATATGATCGTTTAGTATATCAAAAGAAATAGGCACAAACAATTGCAAAATAAGACATCTGTTTCAGCTTCCTACCAAAATATTTTTCAGAAATGATCCAATAATTATTTCAAAAACACATTTTTCGTTTTTTTTTTTTTTTCATTTTAAAAATTAATGATTCAAAAACATTAAGTAAAAAAAATCATATTTTTTATTTTTACATTAATCCATACAAAAATTAACCAAAAGATTACCAAAATGACATAGCAAACACCCACAGGTCCAACAAAAAATGTTTAAACATAAAAATATAAAAAGGTTGATTTGATATGGAATGACTCACCTTGTCGAAATTCAAGGCTGAAAGCTAAAATTTATAACTAAGTTTAATATAATCGAAGACATGTTATATTAGTTGTTTGGTAATGATCCTATGACACTAGACTGGGTTAATGAAATACATAAATCAAATAAGATATCAAAATAAAAATGTTTCGAAGCCCCAAGTACAAGTACAAGTAAATAATAGTAAATAATAACCAGCCTCTTCAGGCAGCATCAGAGCAGTTACCAACCCGTGGATAACCAAAATATAAAACTTTTGTTCTAAACGAGAGAAAATTTCTCAGGACCATGGCTTAGATCTATGGCATCGAATTGTCATTGGTTTTTGGAGTTCCCAGGCAAATTAAGTCTTTTGTCGTGTTATCTATCATGCTATCACTAAAAGAGGCATTGTATGTAAATATTTCTGCTATATGGGTTTCGAGGGGCCTTGTAAAAGACTTTTTTTATCCAGCGTTTCTGCAACCGCGTCCATGAATCTTTTACTATCGCCCCAAATCTAAATAAAGTTGTACCTCGCTGGTGTCTAAACTATCCCGAAAACCTAGAGGTTTCAAACCTTTTTCAAAGATTGGATAAATCTTATTTTGAGCTCAACAATTTTTTAAAAAAATTTAAATTTTGCACCATGGAGTAATAATAATTTCTATGTCATTAGTGTTGTAAAACAATATATAATTACATACCCCATTGTTATATTACACACTATATATGCATAAACAATAATAAAATGTTATCCATCAAATGTCAGATTTATACGGATGATTTCTACCAGAGAGAAAAAAAAAAAAAAAAAAAGAAAAGCTGCTATAATGGCTCTTTTTTTTTTCATCACCGTAAAACAACCATTATGTATCAAAAACGCTAAAATGAAACGAGATAATAGGAAAGCCGCTACAAGTGGCTTGGTGCCATTCGATGAGATTTACCGTTCTCATTTTGGCAAACCTACCCCTTAGGAAATCTGGCATTCGGTCAAATACCCTAGTATTTAGTTAGAGTAGAGTTGATATTGCGTTCCCATTGCAACGTTTTAAAAAGGCCTTATACATTAATATTCCCATAGATTTACTTTCAGGAGATAAAGTTCCATAATTTCCATTCGGACCGTTCAACTTTTAGGACAGCAGCTAAAATGGAAGATTAAAAAAAACATTTAACGTAAATGTTCCAGTTTAATAGACAGTTTTCAATTCATTAACAGAAAAATATCTTTATACTTCTAGGAGAGAGTGCAAATATGAGTAGATTTGCAGTTAAAACAAGCAAGACGAGTGAACTTCACCCAAATGCGAGAACAAGATGAGTCTTGGTCTTCCACACTCAATATTTCTCTTGCACAAGAATCTCGCAACAGTCTTGTAATTACCTATTACCTTATTACTATAGAGATATTACTGTAATATTTCAGATAGGGAAAACCTAACTATGCTCGAATGAAAAATAGGAAGATTTAAATGCAAAAGTATATTGATTATACCTATTCTTCCAACATAAATACAATTTTTGTTCACAAAACAGTCTTTCTTTATTTTCTAGTCTTGGTCCAGTCTTGCAAAGTGCAAGACCAAGACTGATTATGGGCAATATTAATCTTGCTACAATAGCTAATTGCCAATTCATCAAAAAAAGCTGTTTTTTTCTGTCTGGAAGGTTTCCTTATCACTTTTCTTTCGGGGATAATTATGAATTTTTTTTTCTTCGGTCTGTTTGACATTTTTTAGTTTAAATCTGTGCAGAATTTTTTTTGAGTTTGTATTTATATAAAAAAAAAACTACTGACCCCAAAACCTGAAAAATCTGTAAAACACTATCAAACCGATTTGCAAAGATTTACCTTTAGAATTTTTTTTTTAAATATATTTATTGAGAGATATTATAATCTGCCACAATTAAGGAGATCTATAATAGTGTTCAAAGAGCACATTCACAATAAATAATATAGCAAAATAATAATCCTAAAAATAGATGTATATTAACTAAACTAAACAAAACGAAACTAAGCTAATGAAAATAACTAGCCAAATACCTACCCACATGCTCCTATACAACATCTTAAAATAAAAATTATTCACTCAAGACCTTTCACCCAAGCCTTTCTCTTCACTCGTGGAAAGAAAGGATGGACTCTAGGAGATCCCAACGCCCTTCCCTCTGACGCATTACTGGTAAATCTTTAGAAGTAAAGCTTTGTTTGAAAATTACTTTTTAATATGTTACCGATTACAATTACCGATACATTTATATAATGCAAATCCTGTAAATTGAGCTTGAAATATCCCATTTTATTTTTGACTTTGCTGTTTATTAGTTATTCAATAAAGGTACATGGTTATAAGTTTATGTTCCCATTGTTTTTTGGGGATTTCTTAAATCCCGATTCTTCGGTTGCCTTGATCGGTATTGCGGCTGCACACCGTTTAGTTTCGTGACGGGAGATTCGACTCCGAAATTCGTCTTCACTCCACGGCGTTGCTCCGACGTCAAGGAACACTTTCACGAAATGAGATTAACTGATAACGCCGTCGCGCCACACTCGTGAACTGACCGGATGGTCTAAGTCGAGGGATACCTGATGGCGGATTTCACGTCCTCTCTCCCTCTCATTTAATTTATCATAATAATAAACTTCTAATTTTATTTACGATCCGTTCAGACACATGTTTCTCTCCCGGTTATTGGCCGTAAATGCCCAAGTGTGACACTTTCAATGCGCAGTTGTTATTTAGAAGCGATTATCTTTCGGTTGTGCTTCGTTGGGGAGTAATCCCATCTTTGTTCCCGAGACGTTTCGAATCGGCTTTATTGCTGCATCCATATATTCGAGAAATTATCCTCTCATACGCCTCGACTGATTAACTATTCGGGTTTGGAATAATTAAGTAGCGGTAAAGTAGTATTTTCATACATTATATATATATATATATATATATATATATATATATATTGTTTATGAAACTGTTGATTGAAATAATTTAATAATAAAAATAATCATTGATTATTTAATTAACGATAAACAATACGTTTTATTCTCCTCAATTGTGGGATAAAATTATTACTTCTCATATGTTTTTTTAGATATTATCGTAATTTTGTGTATATCTTCTAACTAAATATAAAACCCTAAGGTTAATGGTAATCCCAACTATTCAACAAATAAAAAAAAAGTATGTAAATAACTAAAAAAAAAAAATAATCACTCTAATTCAAAACATATTGTACTTATAGTTTTGTATTGAGGCCGATAACTAAGATTTCTTACAGGTTAGTTTGTTCTAATTTTTGTAGTTTGTTGTAATTTCCAGCAGTCATATTATATTATATTAAAATTTAATTTATCAATTTTTTTTTTAATTTACAAAAAGATTTTGTCATGTTTGTGTTTAACAATGGTTTTTGAGGCCTTTTTTGTGGCAAAATTTAAAAAATAATAATTCTGATATGTTTACGGATTCAGAATATTTTTTAATAATGACTTAAAAAATATTGCAAATATATCTTTTCTCCTTTATAAACTAGTTATTTTCGTTGTCGAAAGACTTGAAAAAATATTCTGTAGTCCAGGGGACACACAATTTAATAAAACCTCCATTTTTTTTTCTAAGGCGGCATCGCGTTTCTTTAATGCCCCACTGAATTTTTAAATATCTTCTATAATAGTTATTTTTTTTAAAAGATGTTTCGCATACCACTCAGTGGAAAGGGACAAACGTAAAAAAAAATATATTAAAAAAAACAATAATCTAATTGAGCTGTCTAATAACGGAATAATAACGGGGGTATAATCAAAACTCTTAATTACTCTTGGCTACTTATCCTCAGACGCAAGAAGACTCTGAAGTATGGCTAGAAGAAATCGTCAGGCATTTTAGAATTAGATGTATGTATTGGCGCATATTCTTATCTGCCTCTAATACATCATGGCCATTACTGGAGAATTCTTCTACGGATGCCGAATACTCTGGTGTAGTCCCGTACGGCGCATTCCGACGGCGGAAGACTCGTCCTCAAAAAGAGATCAATAATGGAGGAAAATTGGTCCTGACTTGGGTTGATTCCTTCATCCGACCAATCATCGGTGCCGACAGTGATGTTGATTATTGAAAACATTGTCAAGTGCTGATTGGTTAGTTGAATTAAGTCCACTACTGGCCCCGTTGCCGCATGATCGCGAAGTGCAATTAGTAGGTGTCGAGTGGCCTTTGGAACAAGACGGTTTCCATCGTTATGTTTAATTGATAATTATTGTATGACTTAAATGGTTTATTCTGAAAGTGATAGACGGAGACTACTTGTTCTGTGGATGTTACATTTATTTATCACTGGCTTGCAAACTACTGCCTCCCACGAATACCCTTCACTGGCCTTCACCTAAGAGCAATCAGGAACTATCAATCAAATGAAGCATAAGAAAGTGGCCGGCGTGGCCAGGAGCTTGAAGTACCTCCAGTGACCCTGATCTTCGAAATCATTTGCCTCCACCATTTCACCTTTTATTATTGTTATTTATTTTAAATGAACAAGAATAATCAAATTTTCACTTTTTAATATATTCTTACTTTTATTTCTCACGTAACATCCCCCATTTTTCATTTCTTTCCCATTAAATTATTAATGACTATATTGACTAGTATTTTGCACATTTTCCTGAACTCCCTGTCTGATTTTGTTTGCAATGAAAGAATTTTTTTCAATTAGTTCTTTCATGAATCCTACCATCACCAGCAGTTTTTTTTTGTGTGTGTGTGTAATGATTATCAAATTTAACCAGGTTAAAATCTTGCGATGAAATATTAGGGTAAACGTTTTATTTCAACTACCCTAAGATAAACTGAAGCAAAGAAAGAAAAAAATATTTAAGAACAGCCGTAGTGTGTGTTGGCACAGGTCCTCCCCCATGCAACTTATCTTCTGGGCCGGGCATGGATTAAAGAGGCGGAAGAATGAAGGAGGAGGAAACCGGATTAAGAGGAACCGGAAGACAAACAGTACAACGGCATATGGGGCGCGAATTGGGGGAAAAGATCCAGAAGGCAGAGGAGCCATAACTCAACCGGCGGGGGCGGGAACAGTAAATCTGGCGAGAGTGGCTGATAGTAAAATAGTGGCGCTATCTGTTTGCTGTGTCCCTGCACTAGTGATAAATTGATAATAAGTCGTAGGGGGAAGTATGCGGGCTTTGGGCTTTGAAGAGCTTGAGAAGAATCGCTTCAGAATTCGGAGCTTATATTATTATGGGGACCAAGATATGAAGTATATCCTTTTAGATTTTCCTTTACTGTTGGTCTTTTTCACTGCACAAATGCCGCCATGAAAAATAACAGACAACATAAATTATAAGCAGAAACGGAAGATAGAATTAAAATATTGGTTATATTTATTTATAAAAATACAGCTCCTCTTTCGTTTTTCACCGCCAACCATTAAAACTACTTAACCGATCATCAATAAATTTAAAACATGAAGCTGCTCAAGGGTCTCTCCAAGGTTTGTTAATAATAATATCACAAGATTTTTATTAATTTCAAGAATAAATTATTTAATTTAAATACCCATTGCCGTCTCTAATAAGCGAAGTGACAAAGTTTTATGAATTTCGGGGTGGTTATCTATATCAGGTTGCGAAAAAAAAACTAGTATATATATTTCTTGACCAGTTACTAAAGTATTAGTGGGAGTAGAAATGGTCTTTTACAAATTTCTAAGGTATACTTATACTAGTGGGAGAAATAAAGAAAAGTATCGTTTCCGCAGAAATATTTTAAATTTCTTCAAACACTTTTAAACATACTGTATTCGTAAAAAAAAAAAGGTCAGAGTGTAAATCCATTAAAATGAAGATACGTTCTGTCACGTGATTTGTATGACAGTTTCTTTGACGTATTGCTAATATTTTTATTTTCTTAAGAAATCATGCATACATTTATCTTGACAGAAATAATATTTCAATAGCGGCTGTGTTTCGAGAGCAAGGATTTAATCTCGGCAAGCAGCGGTCGGTGAGGAGGGGGGGGGGGAGGAGAATTCTAAACCTGAGGTAAAAGATTAAAGGTTCTGTCCTCGAGTTTGTAGCTTTCAAGGATCGGAGAAGAGGAGCCCTCAAAAGCCCTTAATGGTCTGGGGAATCAGCAATCAGGAGAAATGCTGACAGCCAAAATGGTTTAGGATTACATCCCCCGTGTCTCTTAACCATATTTTATTTTATGTCTTAGCCATATGATTATTAGGAGTTGGCAATGACAAAATAATGTAATATCAATTATCAAAAATATATTACAATACTTTACAAAAATTAACCTGTAATTACAACTATAAATAGTTTTTCGTTATTACTATATTTATTTTTATTTTTCTAGGCTTTTATTAATCTCCTTTCATTTTGTTATAGAGATATGGATATCAGAAAAAAATCCATACTATTTTAAATATTCAGGCCTCAATATGGTTAATCAATGAAAAGAATCAGGTGCATTTGTCATTTTAGCCCTCAATTTTTTTTTTAAATTGTAAGAGAATTATCATTTAATTGAAGTCCTAGATCTGTAATGTATGTTTTTTCCTCTTTATTATTAGTAATTTATTTTGTTGTTTTTTTTATTAATTTATATATATATATATATATATATATATATATATATATATATATATATATATATATATATATTTTCAATTTGTATTTTGACTTGTACATTTATGATATGAATTTACACCAACAGCCGTAATATTTATTGCCCTTGATTGTGGTGGATCGTTTTATTATTGTTAAGTAAAAAAAAAAAAAGATTTTAAATAGCTTTAATATTAAAAAATTGAGTATTTATATTTTGCTAATTAATTTTAAAAAGTGTATACATTTATTAATATTAATTAATCGATAAAATTATTTGACAAATGTTCTCGATTAAAATCCTGAAAGGAACTAAAATAAAAAATTAATTAATTTCATAAAATGTTTAAAAAAAATATAGTATAAAGGATGAAGGAAAATCGATATTAAATGAATTACTAAAACATCTACAAAATTATCAGTATTTATTATTAAAACGATCTACTAATAAGAAATAGAGCAACATGAATTATATTTCTCGACATAAAATAAAAATAAAATTAAAGAAATATTTTTCAGACTTTCATTGATAATATTTTGGTTTTTACTTTTTTTATGTTAAAAAAATTAGGTTTGTATCGATATTTTAGTAGATTAATATTTTTCAACTTTCTTACTTCCATAATCAAATTTTTATTTATTTTTTTGCAGAAAAAGCTTTTATCTATTAAAACTCTGAAGTGATGCAACTAGCAGAACATTTCGTATTAATTTATTGTCCGATTAACATTCTGGCCAGCGGATACTTTTTAAATGAATCAACTGAAAGTTCTTAAACTAAAAAAATAAATAATAATAATAATAAAAATATTTCATCAACAATTGAAAATATTTTATTCAAGTCAATTTAATTTTGTTGCCGGTTTTAATTTATAAATCATGTATTGCACTAATTATACAAAATATAACACAAAATCAGAACCTAACACATTTTTTTTTCCAGTTTTATCAAATATAAAAATATTTTCTCTATGATGAAAGAAAAAAAAAAACAGAAGTTGGCTTCCCCCGTCTGCTTTCGCTAAGCTCACCCTCATTTTAGCTAGTCCTTTTGTAGACCGTCTCAGTATTTACATAATTTCACAATAGGAAGCGATGAAGCGAAAAACGACCTCTTAAATTGAATTTAATGCTTAAAAATAATTCAATTTTACCAGGGTTAATTTAACAGCTACACATTTAATTTAAATACGAATCTGTTAAATTTAAAATAAATCGGTATTAGCTCCGGGGGTAATTTTAATTGGCTTTTAAATATCTCTTATGATTTATGATCCTTAAATATTAATTTAGACTCCTTTCATTTTTTATGATCTTTAGAGTAGTTTTAATCATTTTTATACATTAAGTAATATAACATCGCACTTAATTAAAACTTTACGGTCCAACCGTAGTATTTATTGCAATTTAATTTTTTTGACTCCAATCTAGGAAAGGCATTCGCTATTGAAGGGAGGATATAACTTCACCTACAAAGTCCCAAAAAGTTAGTACATTTCAAAGTTACTAAAATTTAAAACTTAAGCTATGATTGGTGTGTTACTATTTCCCATTGGAAATAAAATTATTATTGTCAAGAGTCAGTATTTGCAACAAGTAAGTGAAATGATCAAACCTAAAATTGGGAAAATTATAATGTTTCTCTACCAAATAAATACTTTTTTTTTTCAATTTGGTTTGATGTAATTTTTGTTACAATTTTTTAAAATTTCGGAAATTTTAGGTTTCTTCCCTTCCCCCTTTCATCTAAAAAATAAAAAATACAATACAGCAACGTTCCAGTTAAGAATCTGGCCTATATCAAAATCCTAATATGAGGTTTAGTGTTGAAACTTTATCAATCAAATCCTTGCCATTCAAAGCTTACGTAAAGTGATCCATATTAAGGCTATATTTTTGTTTTGAAATGTCCTGTGATTTCCAGTTTCTTTCATATTAAGATAAAAATTGCATCCTTCTATAACCTTCATATCCCACACCAGTTTCTCTCTCTATGCTTTCCAATCGTTGACCATATATTCTACGGTGCCTCCGAAAAGTAGATGGCTCCCAGACATTTTAACAAATTCCTGTATGTATTCCACATGTGCCTATGTCTTTGTAACAAACAGCACTCTTCTAACTGACAAAACATGCTCTGCCTTAAATGAAGAATGGATTTCGTTGAATATAAAGAGATCGATACATTTGCTGATGGTCTAGTGTGAACTACCGTTTCACTATTCCCTCCCTTGCGAATATTGCACGCCAAGGACTTGCCAAAAGATGAAAGCCCGTAGCCAAGCTGGAGTCGCATCCTTCCAGCGCGGCGGATGCAGCTGCATCGTGTAGCCATAGCGCAGTAAATCCCGAGGATGAGCGGAGTCATGCACGAGCGCCCCAACCCAATCCCAGGCCACTATATTACACAAGTCCCCATATTTATTACTGCCTCGGGCTCTTTATGAGTTTACCTTACCTTCGATAGAACTGCTCTCAATAATGTCTGCGGTTCATA